GAAGCCTGCTTCTCCCTCTCCCACTCCCCCTGCTTGTGTTCCCTCTCTCGCTGTGTCTCTCTCTGTCAAATAAATAAAATCTTTAAAAACAAGCAAAAAAAATTATGATGTGGAGAGAAGTGATACAGAATTGTTCCACAAACCCAAAACCAAACTAAGAAGGTAGCTCCTTAAGTCTGGAAGGAGATAAATGGAGGGAGTATTTTGTTGGTCAGCAAACATATAAACATACTGTCTTCATTACTCGCCACAGGTAAAACCCTTCAAAGTTAAAAGGGTATGTGTACAAATAAGGTACACAGACCGTGCTAGGCTGGTGTGGTAAACAGGGGCGGTTGGAGACGGCAGGTGTCAGCGGTAATGATCTCAGCATATCATGTTGAGGGACAAAATGCTGAATAAGAAACAAAACTGACAGAAGCTATAGCACAGAATCATGTACACTCAGTGAAGCACTTAAAAACCTACCCCATGTGAAGCATGACATCTTTTTCCTAGGATACAGATTTCAAGATGTGTCAAACACAAGAGAATGGGGACCTGTGTGAGAAGAATGTTAGAAAACAGGCTGGAGGAGCAAAATTAAAATCAGGGAGTCCTTCACTCTTAGTGAGAGTGAACCTGTGTACAGAGGAAATAGAATTAATTCAACTCTGCATCCAAAGTTTACAGAAAAAGACCTCTGTCTGCAAACGAGGGCCAGTGAGTAGCTGGTAAGGGCAGGCCCATCCTCCCGGCACCCACTACGGAGAGACCACCGCTCCAACTAGAACATCAGCCTTCCTCAGTGGAGCAGGTTTGCTCTAGAAGGGAGAACTTCAACACTTACTTTGGCTGACTTATTTAACCCCCACAACAACCTGAGAGGTAACAAACATCTCATTTTACAGATTTAAGAAACCAAATCACTTTTCCAAAGTCACAAAATAGCTCAATGGGTTTGAGCTTCCTGTTTAACTTCATTTCCCACATGACTGCCCCCCACCCCAAGGCACCTGAACGGAGCAGCTCTTCATGTTGAGCCCTGACGTCAGCTTTTGTTTCTAAAACGAGATCTAAACATTTTACATTGATTTTTTCCCTCAACTAACTGCTCAAGGGAAGGCAGCAGCGGAAACGGAGTGCACAGCGCTGTTGTGCCTCGTGTGGTCACATTTAGGTAAAGAGCCTTTCCAGCAAGCCCACGGCATGCTGCCTACCTTTGCCTGGGCGTAGTGGAAGTGCCTCGTGCCACCTCACGAGCCACAACACATTCAAATGAGTGACATTCCACTTCTCCCGCAGCTTCCGAGCCCCTTATGTAGGTGCCGGTGCCCGGGCGAGGTTAAACCCCGCTTGAGGGGACAAGTTACGCCAGAGTTTGGGTCCCAGAGCCCAGCAGACACAGCACTCACTTTGTGAAAACATAACCTTTGAACCCTGTCCAGAAATGACATTGAAAAGCCAACGAGATTCTGACTTTTATTCTTAGGTCAGAACAGATCAAGTACAGGGAGAGGAGCAGCAAGAAGGGTCCGACACACAATCCAGCTCCCGCTGGTCCGCAGGCGAGGGCACTGGTGCAAGAGGCGGATCGGATCCCTCAATCCTTGGCAGACCCTCAGAATCTCACTTGGGGCCTAAAGTGCATCTGCTTGGTGGCATTGTTCTTCATTCCCGTCTTCAGCATCCACTTGGATTTCATCCTCTGGACATACTGCATGTCCCGCTCACGCAGAAGAGCCGCTCCTGTGGTTGCAAAAAGGACAAGCAATGAGGCAAAGGTTTGTTATTGGGGATCAGAAAAAAAATCCAATCTTTACAGAGCATCTCAAGGCTAGTTACGGGGTCACTGGGTTCTTAGATTTAAAGAAGAGCTGCTAACCTGGGTCTCCGCGTAACAGGAGTGGGGGTCGTGTGCACCCAGAACCGCATACGACAACCTGTATTTGTACACATTTCTCTGGGAGAAGCCTCTCTGGTTTTCATTATCTGGAAGGGTCTTTAAGCCCCAAAGGTAATGCCCCATTGATCAAGGGTGACAGAAAGGTGGAGACTATAAATTGAATCAGACAGTAGTTCCTGACAAGAGTAAGATGAAGTCAGTGTCTGCTAGATTTAAGGGGCTTCACAGCTCACAGGCAGCCACAGGGAAGGAAGCCACGGGTATATATATAAACACAGTGGCACTGAACACAGATTTTCTCTGTCTAGGGCTTTCCATGACATCCTAAGGGAGCTCTCCTTTGCCCACTCCACAGTCCTTTAGTGGCCTGATGTGCTCCCCGAAGATCTAAGGACTGAGCTGCATAGAGCAGACACATCAGAATAGATTTAAATAATTTTATATTGATGAGGTTTCAAAGCTTAGCAATTTCTAGGCCCGCTTTATTCCTCTAACTCTTGTTACGTTTTCTATGGGAAAACTACAAGGAGTGACAGCTAGCCTTTATTATGTCCACGTACTGTATCATACGTGCATTAGGACAGTCAACCCACACAACTCTGCCAGGTGGGTCTTATTATCCCAATTTTATAAATGATGAAACAGAGGCTTAGGTGACTTGAATTACGCTCATCATGTAAGAACCGCTTAGTATATCAAGTAAGTCATGTCTGACTCCATAGCTCAAGCTATTTGCCACAAGAACACTAGTTAATTCCTCTGTATAACCTCCAGGGTAACTTCAACCTTTGTTGACTACTCAGTACTTATTTCTGTAACTATTATCTATATGCCATTTTAGAAAGTTACTGTGCCAGGAATGTGAAGCTTTTAAGTAATGGAGCTTTGGGCTCATTGCCATCAACGTATCCAGTAGTAATGGAAGCTCCCAGAGCCAAGAAGTTAAGTTTCCTCTAGGGAGGATCCATAAGGACAACATAAATGGAAAGGACTTCACCCAAACCCCATCTTGTAATACGAGTTTCTGGGCTAGTCCACGGTTGTAAGTAACAACACACCTGTGCTGCCGGTCCATCCCAGGGCTCTGTACTGCTGGAGTATCCGGCCCACGGCCTTCTGATTCTTAGCAACGGCCACAGCTCTTGACAAGCCAAATCGCTGTTTGTAGTATCTCATCAAGGAGCGGTGACCCACTCTGGCACCTGTTTTTCAAAAAAGCAAGATGAAAACACTGAACTGGATAATTCTTCAGGGTAGAGCTACAGAGCAAGGACTTTCCCAACCAGACTTTTAAGGGTATCTAGCTGGAAAATGGATATGCCAGGAGAAACAATGCTCTACCCACTAAAAAAAAAAAGATATTAAAAAATGAAAGAAAATCAAAACGTAAAGGAATTTTTTAAAGAGAATGGCAAGTCACTGTTACATGAAATACTCTGCATCTTGTACTTACTTATATAAAATATGCCTCTCTAGAAATTCACACAGCAACACCTACTAACATGGATAATAGGGCCCGAGGAAGGAGATAAGGGACTTTAACTTTTTCTCCCCCTCTTAATACAAAGATAAAGCACACAATAATCCTGATGCTTAAAATCTTAAAAGTCACAGTCTGGGTCTAGAGTAAACCAATCCACCTTTCTTTTGCTTAAATTCTCTGTAGGGGTGGTTCCCAAACAGGGATCATTTTTTACCTCCAGGGACATTTGGCACTGAATGGAGACATTTTTGGTGTTAAACCTGGAGGGGGACTACCAGCAGCTAGTGGATAGAGGTCAAGAATATCGCTAAACATCCTACAATGCACAGGACAGTCCTCCACAACAAAGAATTACCTGGCCTAAAAGGTCACTACACTGAGAAACCCTACCCCGTTGTTCTCTACAGGATGGAAATCACCTGGTGAGCTAGAATTTTAAAGGATGATTAAGCTGACTTTCCTCTACAGCTTTTGCTTATCTAGGATCTGGTAAAACTATGCAAGTCAATCATGCTTTCAGAAATGAATTACTATGGGGGCGCCTGGGTGGCTCAGTCGTTAGGCGTCTGTCTTCGGCTCAGGTCATGATTCCAGGGTCCTAGGATCGGGCCCCACATCGGGCTCCCTGCTCCGCCGGAAGCCTGCTTCTCCCTCTCCCACTCCCCCTGCTTGTGTTCCCTCTCTCGCTGTGTTGCTCTGTCAAATAAATAAATATCTTAAAAAAAAAAAAAGAAATGAATTACTACGGACTACCTAGCCCTTTATAGGAAGAGTGTGCCAAGCCTCAGCTTCGCAGCAGGTGGAGGGGAAGGGGGCAGGCTTCAGCGGTGACTAACTGCAAGCTCCATCAGAGCAGTGACTCTCACCAGGTGCTCCTGGCATAGTGCTATCAGCATTACCCAAGAGCATTTGAAATACAACACTGAATACGACTCTCTCACAAGAATATTAACCAAATACCTTCCCAGACAGACATAAACACATAGCAATTCAACAACAGCATATATACAGGGGCGTGAAACAGCGATTTCCACTGAGCGTGAGTACAGGAACTATGGCTAGGCAGAACCACGTGTACGGCTTCTAGGAAGTTTTACACTTACGTATATAAAACTATTTCTTTCAGAATTTTTGTGTAGAAAGACCATGAACAGGAGACTATAAATATTACAGATATATCTGCTTTTAGGATTTAGACCTTTCATTTACATGAAAAAGTTCTGTCAGGTTATTTTAAGTCCCTATACCTGGGGCAAGCCACCTAGGAAGTTTGCTTGTTACACAGACATGGGAAAGGAGTTACTTTCAGTTGGTTGTTTTTTGTGACAGGATGCAAGAGATGACCAAAAAAACCCTTTCAATTCAAAGCTGATTTGGTTTTTGGATACAAGACGGATGAAACATGTTTCCTTGAACCTGATTCTTCTGGCAGCCTTAGAGGTACCAGAGCTCCTAGACCCCAGGAAATGCGTAAGATGCAGCTGACGGACAGAGACTCAAGCTTAAATGAAGGCTGCTGTGGCAGGAGACCCCAGCACTATTTATTATCATTTTCTATGTATAATAGGTCAGGATGCTCCAGGTTTGCAATGCTCAAAATCATTACATGATAATGTTGGTGATCAGGACAAAGTAAACCGATGTATTTATATTCTTAAGCAGCATTTGGACATATGTATTATTGAGGAACATCCTTGAAAAGGTTTCATTACTCAAAGCCAAGGTTTCCGCAGCCAGCAGGGGAACTGAAGACACACGGTTGAGAGCTACCCTGCCCTGTGTCAATGGCAGTGAGCCCCCAACAGAAAGCCCCAAGAATAACGTGCTTGTACAGCTCAACTTGAAGGCCCTCCTCAAGGTAAATGGGTAAGTCTTAGTTACGGTAAAGCCACAATCTGTCCATCTACCTTTCACCACAGCGAGAACTACGTGTAAAATGTCAGCTCCTACTTAAAAACTGTCCGCCCCTACTTAACAAACAGCCTTATAATCGAAGCCATTAGACAGTGGAAAAGAAATTACCTCCAACTGTAATTTTCCGAAGATTAATTACACATTCTCGTGGATCCACCACCAGTTTCACCCGGCTCCTCAGCGGCTAACTAATGTTAGCTGGATGTGTCTTTCACACCAACTTACTCCACAGGAGCTGACGAGCACGAAAGGAAACTCAAGGAACTGAGCCAGACCACAGCCTTCACAGTAAATGCTCACAGTGCCCTCTACTGAATGCTCTTTGTCACTGGCTCTGGGATCACCTACTGGATCTGAAATAACTAAATTTAAAACATCACAACTATCGCTTTTGAAACCAGCTGAAAGCAGGCCCTACTAAGTGTGGCTGATTAAATATCACCAAGCTCTCCACATGAGCATCCTTTTCAAATTAGCTTCATGCCGACATCCATGCTAATACAATCAAGTAACTGAGTCTAACTGAAAAGGTTTCCGAATGGTAAATTTGCTCAAAGCCATAAACAGGTGATTGAATACACAGCTGTAAGACTGTTCCTGTTTACTGTGCTTATTTAGAGACCTCCCATTCTCTTGGTTCATTAGAAAACCTCCCAAACCAGTACTGAGACATGAGAGCAAACCAATGGACTAGAAACCATCAGGTCTCATTATAATCAAGATTGACTAGTTTTTAATATACGACGATGAAAGTATGGGTGACATGGAGAGAGGTACCAGTATAGCTGGAAGAAATTTCAGAATCCTAGCAGTGTTTGATTCACGAAGAAAGCTATGTTTTATTTAAACTAATTCTATAATAAGGTCTCAGCAGTCAATCATCTGTGAAGACCCATGAATGTAGTGAATGACATGTATTTAGATATTTGTATTGGTGGCTCTTAATCTTCTCCACGTCACAGGTGCTTTTAAAAAACTACAGCATTTCCCCCAGAAAAAAACGTACTTATCCACAGCTAAAAAAAAAAAGAAATGCATGGCCACACAGGTGACTTTAAAGTTTTTTTTTTATTTTTTTGAGAGTGGGAGAGAGTGTGCGTATGCACGCACAACCAGAGGCGGGCGGGGGGGGGGGGGGGGGCAGAGGCAGAAGCAGACTCCCCGCTGAGCCTGATTCCAGGCCCTCAATCCCAGGACCCAGAGACCATGACCTGAGCCAAAGGCAGACACTGAACTGACTGAGCCACCCCACACAGGTGACCTTAATCACTATGGCCTTTCCCCAGGAAAATGCACATACAGAAAGAAAAAAAATTGTATGGCCTGGTTAAGAACCTGCGGGGTAAGGTAGTATCTGGCTGCTGGTAAGGTCTTCCCTGAGTCTGTCTAAAAGTTCAGTGTTACCATACTTACCATTCTTCACTACTTCTAAGTCTAATATAAAAGAGCTGTCCTAAGGTTTATTATCTAATATTTTAAAATAACATGACTCAGTAGGGTGGACCAGCAGCAGTTAGCAAGGAAACCCAGGCTTTAAAAACCAGGGAAATTGGACCTTCAAGTTAATCTCATGCCACTTTCTTCTTTGACTGTATGAGGATGTAGAGACAAGCAATCGGCTCCCCAGTGTTTCAGGCCAATGATTCCAAGCCCCTGAGGCCCCTTCTTAGCCCACAGTGGTTCCTTCTGCTCTGGGGCTCCTAGTCTGCAGCAGACCCAAGGGAATCAACCTTCCTTTCCTTTTAAAGTCACCTCTAACCTCTCAGTCAGTCAACACACATTTATCCGAAGACCCTGTGCTGAGATGAAAGAAGCAATCTTTTTCTGAAAAGTAATGGGGGAAGCCAGGCAAGCAAGCCAACAACTACAAAGGAGAGGAATGTTACCACAGATACGCAAGTGTCCCTGGAGCTGAGGAGACTCTCCACACTCAGCGCAGGAGCTGAGTTCAAAACAGCTAATGGAGGGGTGAGCCCAAGTCTTAAAGGAGTAGCAGTAAGACAGAGAGACATCAGCTGTGCAGTCCCAGAGTGGGGGGAGGTGCCCGTGGGCGGGTAGAGGAATAGCACGGGATGGGGGGGGCGGGTAGCTGGAGAAACTAACTTACTGGAAAAACAATGGCTCTCCCTGGGGGAATTCCAAAGGAAAAAGAAAACAGACTGGTGTTTTAGAAGAATGCTCTGGGTGGTGGAGTGCAAACTGGATTGGAGATGGACATAAAGTGTTGGTAATGGAGACACAGACAAGTGTTAAAGAGAAGACAAAGAAAAAAATATTCAGGGCACCTGAGTGGCTCAGTTGGTTAAGTGACTGCCTTCAGCTCAGGTCATGATTCTGGAGTCCCTGGATCGAGTCCCGTGTCGGGCTCCCTGTTCAGCAGGGAGTCTGCTTCTCCCTCTGACCCTCCCCCCTCTCATGTGCTCTCTCTTTCTCTCTCTCTCAAATAAATAAATAAAATCTTTAAAA